CCGCTGCCCCAGCCACCCCAGGGCAGCTGGGCGCTCGGGCCAGGCCCTCCCGGCTGGGGAAGGGGCAGCTCTGCCCCCCGCGCTGGGCCAGGCTCTGCGGCGCTGCGCCAGGGCTCGGCCTGGGCACGCTTCTCAGGTTGGGCTGGTGCCGCCCTGGGAACAAGCCCTCTCCCAGCTGGAGCCAGCAGCAGGAGGAGTTCAGCTGCCCCCACCCCAAAGGCAACGGTGGGCTGGGGGCGAGCTCCCCAGCCTGGGGGGAGCAGGGGGAGGTGGATGTAGCGGGTGAGAGGCACGTCGATTGCAACCTGTCTGCAGGTCATACATTCCTCAGCCAAGGCCCTCGGGCCAGTGCCGTCCTGGGAAAGGGGGCACTACAGATCTTCATCGCCAATGCCCTCAAAGGCATAATTGCCATGGAAGTCGTTAGTGCCCACATCGTTAGCAGAGCTGGAGTGGCTGATCCCTCGCAGGCTGACAGAGGTGAGCTTGCTCTGTGGGGAGAGGGGAGAGGTGAGGGAGGACCGCGCTGCCCCCCGCTCAGTCCGAGGGTGACGGCGCCGGTGTGCCCACGCACCACTCACCGAGAGTTTGGCCATCGGCTCCCGGGAGGCGTCGGGAGAGTCCTGCAGGAACAGCACCATCAGGCAGCGGGACGTGCCCACCCCTCCTGCCACCCGCTGTCTCCCTGCCCTCAGCCACCACTCGCCCTCCCAGCATCAGGCCGGGCCCCCACCCCGTCCCGGGTGTGGGTCCAGGTCCCCTTTTCTCTTCCCAGGGCTATGGGAGGGGGGCACCACAGCCCTGCTGTCCTCAGGGCTTGCCCCAGCCCTCCCCGCTGCCAGCCCGGCCGAGGGGACCGTGGCACCTCTGGGGGTGGTGGGCTCTGGTACCCAACACACAGCGAAACCCAGGGTCGTGCTCGCCTCCCCTGCCAGAGTCCCACTCACCAGCAGCGGGGGCGATTTCACAGCTTGCTGGCTGTCTGAGCGCCGCAGGGCCCCGTTCAGCCGCCGGCGAAACATCTGCAGAGGAGGAGCTCAGCTCAGCGGCAGGGTCCCCACGGACGGCTCCAGAGGTTAAGATGGCCCCTGGGGATCCTTCAGCTGGCCCCGTCCTGAGGAGAGCAAGCAGGGCCCAGCCTAGACCCTGGGGAGCTGCAGGGGCAGGAAGGGATCCCGCCCCAGCGACAACATCCAGCCCCAGCCCTCACCTTGCGGATGCTGCCTCCAGACTTTTTCACCATCAGCTCATCCACCATGGACTGCAGGCAGATGCTCAGCATGATGGCCTGCAAGGGAGAGGCGTCAGGAGGCTCCACGCGCCCTTCCCAACACGCGACGCCGAGCCCAGACCGCCAACCTCACTCCCGTCCTTCTCCACCGCCACCCTGACACGCAGGCAGCCCTACCTGTGGGCTGGTGATGGTGACCCACTGCAGCCGGTCCTTGCTCATTAGATACTCGAAAGCCAACTCCAGCTTCACCTCAGACTTGCCCGGGCTGCTCCCCGAGGGGCCATTGCTCATCGGCACCTGCAAGGGCACGCGCTGAGCCTGGGAGCCTCCGGAGGGAAGGCAGCCAGCTTCCCGGGCCCCCGTGCCGAGGGAGGGCAGCCCCAGCCGGGTGCTGGCCCTCTGCCTGGCTCCCACCAGCCTTCCACCACCGCCAGCTCCCCTCGCAGTCCA